TGCCTTCCCTCTAGTCTTACACTGCTAAATTAGGGACGGCTAGCGCAGATAGCCCTCGTGTAGCTTTGCGCGAAATTCAAAAACAAAACAAAACAAAGCTTCTATTTACAATGTTTGTTATATGATTTTCTTGGTTTAATGTTGTCTACTACAAAATGCAACAGAAATCATATTACTTTCAGTACAACACACTATTGACATCGACAGTTACACAATTGTGTCTTTTCACTCTTACCAGAATGGTTTGTTTTATTAAACCCTATGCCCTAAAGCAGTTGCTCATTATAATATCCTAACGGTTTAGTAAATTTTGAATAACGCTATGCCCCATAACAGCTCATACGTTCCTAATGATTTATTCAAATCTGAAAAATGTTGTATCATAAAACAGTTGTTCAAATTTTTTTAATGAGTTATTACTAAAGTTATGCGCAACGGTAAGAGAATTTGACGGTCCAATACTGTAACCCAGTGTGAGATTATGGTAATTCTGTAGTGTAGCATATTTCTAACTTACAATATGGGTTTGATTTTCCATAAGTGAAAATCTGGATTTATATTGTTCAGAGCCTTTTATTTTACTAATTTTTCTGTTGCATAAGTAATATGACCTTCCTCTAATTTGTTTAATCTTACGGTCAATACGTATTCGACTAGTTTAGCTCACGATAAATGAATAAAGTTAGAATTCAATAACAACATATATTTCGAAGTGTCAGATTTTTTCCTTAATTATTAAAATCATTATTTTGCCTGTGTCACTTAATATAATCACACTCTTATAGTATGATTGAACTTAAAACTTAAACCACTTACTTTTCTTTTCGAGGCTGCTAGTCGCTGATCTCGGTTGTCCTCTGCTTCTCCAGGTGTCTGCTTTACCCATACTACTACGGCTATTCTTGCGTAAGTATAAATAAGTACTAACAGAGGGAGAAAATACTGCAGTGTCATCAGTGCCATTCCATAATAATACCGTTGTTCTGGAGGATTCCAAACCTCGGTGCAATGGAAACTATCGGAACTCCTTGCAGCTACAAGACTAGAAACAACAACAGTTGGCAATGGAGTAATAAGTGCAACCAACCACACCAAGATGATCATTAGTTTGGCTTGAAATTTCGTCATCCGAGGTCTCAGAGGTTTTATGATTGCTATATATCTATCGACACTAATGGCTATCATAGTGTAAGCGCTAACGAATACAGATACAGCTTGGGCATAGGTCACTATTTTACACAGTGCTGTACCAAACGGCCAACGATGAAGAATCAAATTAACCACAAAAGTAAAAGGAATGCATAAAACGGCCATCAATAGATCTCCCACGGCTAGATTGACGATGAAGTAGTTGGTGACAGTGCGCATGCTCTGGTCGGCCAGTACGATATAGCATATTATTCCATTTCCTCCTATTGCTGCAAGGGAAATAATTGCGTACATAATATACATAATAGCCTGAACTCCTTCGGGAATGGAAGAGTTTTCTGCTGTAGTCTTTTTAGTAAAGTTGTTTCTAATGTCTAGCAATACCATAGACGATACGTTTAGCTCTAAGTCAAATGAAATGTTCCACCAGGTGGAGTTGAAGACAGCCATGACTGATTAGATTAAATAGTTTTACAAAACGAGAACGTTACCCTTGTTTTAGCACACTGGATGTCACTTCTAGCAAGGCGTTTCTTGAAGGAGATATCTTCCTAAAATGAGTCACAAAGCAATAGTTAAACTTCCAGTAGAATAAAGTATTAACATATAGTATCAAATTTCTTTTATTCAGAACTTTTATGCTATTAATTTTAAGTTAGGGTTATAATTTTTTCAGGTCGCAGTTGATCAATATCAATTTAACGAAACCGAAATACATTTAATTTTAGCAACAGCCAGGTGATATAAGAGAAAAACAATAAGAGGCAAAATAAGATGTAAGATTGTTCATTAAAATATATGACGTTATCAAAGCGAAATGAAAACTTCCTAGAAAGCATGGCCATTTTTGCTTAAAAACTGGATTTTGATACCAGTGATGGGCACAGCAAAGACAACCCATGGTGTATCTCTGTGCTTAACAAAAAGAAATATTTTAAGAATGGTATTTCACTTCCCCAAATATATGGCAGTTGGTGTGAATTGTAAAAATATGAACTGCAGATTTTCTGTTAGAATTTATTAGAAAATAATTTTTTTACTTCATAAAAATGTCCGTTTTTGCTAAACTTTTTTTTTTTGCATAAAGGATTTTAATTCAACTGCTCTTAAATATGTCTCATGACGTAAGAGTCCCTTAGCTGGCATAACAAAGCACTCGGTAGTAATATCATATTAATATCACACAATAATGTTATATAGGTTTTAATAAACATTTTGTCATTGTACTTACTTCCTAGGTTAATGACTTTCTGACTAAAACTTGTTACCATATAATGACGAGTGCTCATACGAATCAATGTAAGAATATTTTCCTACTAAAATTGTATGATGTTACAATATGTTTCTACTATGCTCCTTTCAAATCCGAATAATAAATTAGTTATTTTATTACACATTCTTAGAATAAAATGTCTTAAATTGCATTCTGTGATACTTAATGTAGCCATTGTTTTTGAGCAGATGGGTTATTAGAGCTTTTCCTTCCTAATTGCATGACGTTCATTTCATTGTTGGATAATAAAATTCATATTATAAGTTACTGAAACTCTGTTACCTTAAATACGCAAGGACAACGATCAAGAGATGGTCATAATTTCCTAGCATTCTTAGCTACTTTGACCACGAAACATCCTTGACCTCGATTTATACTTTTGAATGTCTGAGTATCACATTTCCCGAGGAGCAATCAGCAAATCAACTGTGTTGATCCTTTCTCGAATTTCAGTAATGACAAAACAAAACGCTCTTAACTACTCAGTAGTTATTAACTCTACTTTGTGGATCGCACATCATCCCTAAGGCATTTCACTCAAACAGTTCCATTTACAGCGTAATTAACTATTCCCTGAACAACGTAGAAACGGCAAACAGCTTTGCTTATTAGCGGTTATATTCCACAGTTTCAGAAAAGATTTTAGGAAGAATATTTCACTCTTTAGTACTGTGGACAAATATATATATATAGTAGTTAACCTTAAATCACTGATGAAAAATTAACAAATATAGATACAATGTAGGTATATCTACACAATTTCAAAATGTGCAGTCACGTGATTGAAAATAGGTTTAACTTTAATTTTTTTTTTCATAGAAAAACATTTACACATTGAAACAACTTAAACCAAACCACAGAATTTTGGATTTCAGTATAAAAGTTCATAGAATATCCATGGATACCTAGAAATATCCAACCAAGAAAAAAAGAAAACTGCAAAAACTAAATAAGTACTAAAGTCATGTGTTTATAAATAAAATAAATTGTAGATACATTGTTGAAAATGTTAGAAATTCATTTTAAAATAAACTAGAATATAATGAAATATAACGACATATGATTGTAAAACTTTAATTAATAAAATAAAGGCGAAATAAAAATAGAAAATAGAAACGGTTTATGAACTAGCTGAGAATAATAATAAAACTTTCATAAAAAGAAATGACTATATTAACAGAATTTTTATTTCAAAACCTTTACCACAGTTATTTAAAATGCACAACACTTTTTGACTGGTAATGATATTTTCAATCTGACCGCCACTTTATGCGACATATATGTTAAAAGACGAGATTAGAGGCCTTTAAAGTCTAGATGTAGGCATGTTTAATTAATAACATGCTGACAAGAAGGAGGACGACCAGCTAACAACACCCACCGCCTACACGGCTACTCTTAACCAAATAGAGGGATTGACTTCCTGAGTTATAACATTTAAAGGCTGAAAGTGTAAAGTGTGTTCATCAGCATATCGCAGGTCGAATTTTGGACTTTCTGATTCACAGCTTGGCTTGTTGATTATACGCCACTTACTGCTTGCATTTTTTTTTTTTTACAAACAAATATAATATCTGAATTGCGAGATTGTTTTTGATATGGATATTGAGTGTGAGATAATTTGTTGTTGGTATTATTGCTAATTTTGTTAATAGAAGCAGGGAGATATAAATATAAAGGCATACTAACTTTGATATTATGAAATTATGAAGATCATTGTCAAATTTGAGTTCTTACGTATGATTTATTATAGAAAAAATTCATTGTATTGTGTTACTGTATTGTTAATTATTGTAAAATTTTTGCTTATTTGAAATGTAAAGGTGGTGGGTTCTCTCCTCTTTAAATCCGCATGCGTGGAAAATAAAGACGTTTTCGTTTCATTTCATGAAGAAAATGAAGGTATTTTATATCACTCGTACAATAATATTTGTATCTAAGCGCTATCTAGTGAAAAAAAATATCAATTTTGGTCTAAGGAAGATTAAACACAGTGTTTGAGTTTCCTAGAGAGAAATAAAATAGAAGTTCACATTTATTCTTTAATTTAGAATAATTGATGTGCTTTTATGGCTTTTAAATACTACTTGAAACTATTTACTTCCCCTGTTTCTTGCTTTTAATGGAAATTTTGTTGTTCATCTCGGCTGAGACTTTGAAGTTTTTGCTTGATGGATTACACATCTTTCACGCATTCGAAGCAATTTGAAAGACCGTTGATTTCGCTTCAGTTTTTTTATTCTACGGGGTAAATTTACAAAACAATGTATATTTGGTGTTAAAATCAATAAAGGTAAAATTGTGTATGATGGTAAACCAATGCATAGTTGTTTTGAGATTAAAGTACACACGCTCGGGAATAAAAATCTCAAAACTGAAATCGAACATAGCGGAAGGTAAAACTTATTACGTATTGTAAGATGAGTTTATATTTCTTCTATAGCGCATGCACGTTGTTGATAATAACAATATATCTAATAAACATCTAAGTTATTAAGCCAAGTTTGCATTTTAGTATTACAAAACCATAATATCGGATAATTTTTTCTAAACCATGGGTAATCTTGATTCACAATATAACCTGTTTTCTATATAGAGTAAAAAATTGCATATTTAATATTACCAGCAGAAATATATTTGAATATAATTATATGTATTTAGGAGTTGGTTTTCTTGAAATAATACGATTGTAAAAACAGATCTGGAAGAAACATGTTATCAAAAATAAGATTATTGTCCCTCGGTAGGATAGTGGTGAGTTTATAGAATTGCAACGTTAAAATTAAGGGTTCGATTCCCCGCGGTGGACACAGCAGATAGCTCACCAGAAAACAAACAATAAAATTACGACCGAGAATACTATTAGTAACGAGGATATTTAATTGTTAAGCTAATGCAATTTTTTCACTTTAGATTTCAAATCTTTTGCTTAATTTACAGTATAAATCGTATTATGATAAAGTTTCGTTATCGTTACTAACTAGTATTTAAAGTAACCTTAGTAACTAACCCAGAGACAATTTGATATACGTTGGTTATTAAAACTAGAGTGAGTTTTTATTTTTAATTGCATTTGCACAGTTTCTATTGCTCATGTTCAGAAACACCCAATTCAACACATACTTCGATAGTTAAAGACCTCGTTTACTAGATTAAATTCTTAATTTTCGAAAATTGTTAATAAGAAAAATAAAGTATTTATGGAAATTTGTATAAATAGCAATTTTTAAGTAATTCTGTTGAACAAGGTGTAATAGATAAAAGTGTGGCATTAATTAAATAACAATTTTGACGTAATTCTGTTGAACAAGGTGTAATAGATAAAAGTGTGGTATTAATTAAATAACAATTTTGACGTAATTCTGTTGAACAAGATGTAATTGATAAAAGTGTGGTATTAGTTAAATAACAATTTTGAAGTAATTCTGTGGAACAAGATGTAATAGATAAACGTGTGGTATTAGTTAAATAAAAATTTTGACGTATTTCTGTTGAACAAGATGTAATAGATAAAAGTGTGGTGTTAAATAAATAAAAAGTTTGACGTAATTCTGTTGAAGAAGATGTAATAGATAATAATGTAGAAAATGATTGCTACTCATTCAAACGTTAGATTAATTTACATTATTTAAGGCTATTTTGCTTTGAGATATTTTCGTACGGATGTCTGTCTTTATCACATTAAATGTGGAAATACAATCACATAAGAATATAATAGACTGTCTGTATTGAAATGAAAGCTTAAGACTATTTTTTGCTGATAAGACAATAGAGAAAAGTTATAGTCTAAGTCAAAACTGGAAGCAAGAGATGAAAGCCGAATATATCTGCTATATTATCAAACATTTCCAAAACACACGTGCAACTTACCTCAGGTTGACTTAAATTTTATTAATGTAGTAGGGTAATCATCGAGTTTTATCGTTACAGAATTTTTAATCTCAGTTAAAATAATTACAAGGTATTACATGGATAGATATAAGAGTTGATGGGAATGTTAAAGAAAAGTAACTGGGGAAACTAAAAGTAATACAAAACTGTGACTTTAACACTTAGACTAAATAACTACTCTTTGAAACCAGAAAAACGAAATTAGCGATCGCTGCTTGCATGCGACACAACATTGCTAAGTACCAAAAGATTTTATAAGAGAACTTGCCAGTGGCTGCGCATGATC